ATAAGTTGACTATCTGCAGACTAAAAGGGTAAAAAGAGCCTGAGAGCTCTCGTGCCAGGATCGCAAGTTAACTTCTTTACAAAATAATTATTTTGAGAATAATAAATTAGTCATTGCACCCGGATAGGAACTGGCTGACTCACACCCGTCACATATGTGTGTCATATTTATAATCCCTCATGTCATGTGTATCAACTAATCGGCACTCTTTGTCACACGAGCTGGCGTCATCTCGAGATTAAGCTGTTCCCACACTCGCCGCGACCTTTTTGCCAATTTTAACCGCTACAATTCTTTTAAAACGACTTTTTTCATAAATTTTAGAACTTTTTAATTTTCCACAATTTGCATCCGTTTATGTTTATAATAATGAAGCAATCACTTCAAAAATATAAAGTAATTATTATATATTTTTTTGCTAATAAATTTTTTCTTGTAAATAAAAATTAATCTTTCACTAGAGTGAAAAAATTTCTTTTTCATAATTTTTATTCACGTGTGTACTTAATCTTAAATTGTTTATTCCAACTCAGTTATTATTGTGTTAGATAATATTGAAAAATATTGTAGCAATTCTAAAGTTTCTCTAATAAAAGGGATATTTTCTCACTATACAATTAGAGGAGCAAAGTAGATATGGAAATTCATTGTTTATTTTTACAATTTCATTTTATTTTTAAAACAAATTATTTATTTACAATACATACGTTGAATATTTATTAAATCGACCTTTTGGGTATGTAACTTTTATTATTTATATGAACAATATTACTTATTTTACATATTTCAAATGATGTTATTGGGAAGCAAGTAAAATTATCGAAATTACTAATAATTTCAAATGCTTCAAAGTGGTCATCGAAGTCACAAATAACTTGAGTTGTAATGATAAATATCTCAATATTATTAGGCATCATCACTATAATATTATGGGAATGGTTCCCATAATATTATAGGAATGGTTCCTGTAATATTATAGAAACTATTCCTATATATTATGGGAATCATGCCGATATTACAGTTATAATTATAGGTATCGATCCTATAATTATAGGAACCATTCCCATAATTATAGTAACATTTCCCAAAAATTATGGTCCAGATTATGGATCTGGATTAGTCATTTCCAAGCCTCAAAAAGCGAATTTTCGCGTAAAAATCAATGACCTTGAATTTCGTAACAAAGAAAACTTTTTTCCTAATTAATAAAATCTTTCCAAATTTTCAGGATATATTATTGGAGGCAAAAGACGCCTCCCAGTACCACAAACACTGCTTCGAATTTGAACGACCGTCCACAGACCCAAATTCGAATTTGGTTCTTTAAGAATGGTTCTTATAATATTATAGGCATTGTTCCTATAATATTATGGGAATGGTTCCCATAATATTATAGGAATGGTTCCTGTAATATTATAGAAACTATTCCTATATATTATGGGAATCATGCCGATATTACAGTTATAATTATAGGTATCGTTCCTATAATTATAGGAACAATTCCTATAATTATAGTAACATTTCCCAAAAATTATGGGTACATTCCCATAATTTAAGTAATCTAAAATGGTATAGAAAACCATTTTATTAAAATTATAAGAATGATTTCCATATTTTTCTCTCCGTGTAAGGTAAGAGCCCCTATTATTGACATTTTAAGGGTGACGGCGAACATTTTAATTTTTTAACCGTATTCAAATTAATCTGACTAATTTTTTTTTGTATTAGACACTTTTTTTGATTCATCAACTTGTGTATTTTAATTTTTATACTTAAGTAGTCGTTAATTAAATGACAAATATATTAATTTGGAATCAGCAACTCAAGTGTAGGTATTATTGACAGGGTGAAGTGGTATCGGAGCCAACTATTGACACCCATAGACCCTATTATTGACAGGTGTCAACCCTATTATTCAGGTTTAATTGAAATTTAAACTTCGAATATAATTTATTATTTACTAGTAAACAACAATATTTTGCTCAGACAATTCTTTTTTTATTATAAAATTACGCGAGGCAACATGTAAACAAATCCGCTATGTATGTTAAAGAGGTTAAGTTTCTTAAAATTGTAGGCTGTCGCTAGTTAAACACATGTTAATTTTTATGTACCTACTATTGACACCCGCTATTTTTAAATCATAATTAAAATTTATCAGCTTAAAACAATAAATCTAAGATTATTTAGAGTTTAAAAACCTCAAATAATTTTGGATGATAGGCTTATATCAGAATTATATAGAAAAATTCGCTATTTAAAATTCACTCTCTCTTAGCGAAATTGTTAAGAAATTTTAAATAAACTAGCCGTAGTGGTTTACTCGGAAAAATAAAATTTTTTTGCAGTTTATAATTAATACCCAGGCATAAAATTTGACTTTTTTCTTACTAAAAAATTTCTAAAAATTGATAAAAAGCAATGTTTACTGTGATTTAATCATAAAATTGATTTAATAATCAATAAAATAAAACAACATGTCAATAATAGGGGCTTTTACCTTAGTATAAATTTCAGTCTCATAATTATATATGACTGATGGAATTCCAGAGTCTCATTTGATTCAAATAAATAGTTTTTTCAGTAAACAAAATTACAAATTACAGTTCTTTTTTCAACAAAGTTTCGACATAACATACTACAGTTCCTAACAAGAGTAAAAAAAATGTGCAAAGTCCCAGAGGACATTGCAGAATCAAAGTTGTAAAATAAAAAAAAAATGACAAACTTACCAAAAGTTAAAATAAAAATAAATATAAAAATAGTCTCGGGTAAAGTTTAAAAAGTTTATGAGTTTACGACTCTGTACAGAGGCGTACAGAGGTACGGAGCTTCTTTGTATATAATATATATGTATCGTAAGATAACCCTTCGAGCGATTTCTATTGGCCCGAGCACTCTTTTACAACATTTACAACTTTTACCGAAAAAAGAGTTTTTTCATAACACTTTTTTTGTAATAAGAAATTCTTAAGTGCGTTTACCGTATATTTTTTGGCCATTCACGCGACAATGACCCTGGCACAGGACAGTTAAATCCTTTCCCAAGGTAAAGGCTACGGAAAATCCTTTACTTTCTTTGTAGGTTAAAATTACCGGTTGTAAAAAAATATTTTGCTTTTCTAACTCTTCTCTATTTAATTCTTTTTTATTTTTTTCGGTCAACGCTTGAGTTTTAAAGGGGTTAAAAATATTATTGCCCGTCGTAAAAATTATCCTTTTTTTTTTAGTGCTCACTCGGAAAAGGGTAAAAAAATTTATTTTCTCTAAAAAAAATGTTTATTTCCTCGGAAAAAGGGTAAAAAAAATTTATTTCTTTTTTGTAAAGACTGAAAAAATTTATGTCTTTAAAGTACAATAGACGGAAAAGGGTAAAAAAAATTTTATAAGCCTTTAAAAGGGTAAAAAAAAAATAAATTTAATTAGTGGACCTTTAACACTTTCTTTGAAAGTTTTATTTTTTTAGTGAGACGGATAATGTTATAAATTTTTTTTTGGGTAAAGGGTAATGGCCTTAATAAATTAACGAGTTAGAATTGTAAATTTTTGAGAGTTTATGATTATTTTTTATTTTTTTAAAATTCTATTTAAATTTACTGAGACTAATTGAAATTTTTTTATTAAAAAAATTTTGAATATTAATTTAATGGGGATGAAATTGTTTTTTGCAAAGATAACTATTTTATAGAAAATATGTGAGCAATTATTTTAGATTAAATTCGAAGCAGTGTTTGTGGTACTGGGAGGCGTATTTTGCCTCCAATAATATATCCTGAAAATTTGGAAAGATTTTATTAATTAGGAAAAAAGTTTTCTTTGTTACGAAATTCAAGGTCATTGATTTTTACGCAAAAACTAACTTTTTGAGGCTTGCAAATGACTAATCCAGATCCATAATCTGGACCATAATTTTTGGGAAATGTAACTATAATTATGGGAATGGTTCCTATAATTATAGGATCGATACCTATAATTATAACTGTAATATCGGCATGATTCCCATAATATATAGGAATAGTTTCTATAATATTATAGGAACCATTCTTTTAATATTATGGGAACCATTTCCATAATATTATAGTGATGATGCCTAATAATATTGAGATATTTATCATTACAATTCAAGTTATTTGTGACTTCGATGACCACTTTGAAGCATTTGAAATTATTAGTAATTTCGATAATTTTACTTGCTTCCCAATAACATCATTTGAAATATGTAAAATAAGTAATATTGTTCATATAAATAATAAAAGTTACATACCCAAAAGGTGGATTTAATAAATATTCAACGTATGTATTGTAAATAAATAATTTGTTTTAAAAATAAAATGAAATTGTAAAAATAAACAATGAATTTCCATATCTACTTTGCTCCTCTAATTGTATAGTGAGAAAATATCCCTTTTATTAGAGAAACTTTACAATTGCTACAATATTTTTCAATATTATCTAACACAATAATAACTGAGTTGGAATAAACAATTTAAGATTAAGTACACACGTGAATAAAAATTATGAAAAAGAAATTTATTCACTCTAGTGAAAGATCAATTTTTATTTACAAAAAAAAATTTATTAGCTAAAAAATGTATGAAAATTACTTTATATTTTTGAAGTGATTGCTTCATTATTATGAACATAAACATTTTTCTATTATTATGTGCGTCATTCCGATAATATTATAGGAACCATTCCCATAATATATTGAAGCTATTCCATTATTGTATAGGAATGTTTTCAATAAATTATAGGTATGGTTCCCATAGGAGTGAAAAATCGATTTTCTTATTGATTAAAAAAAATTTTCTTTACAAATTAGTAAAATATAGACTTTTAATAATAAATTAGGATTAAATTAGAAATGATTAAAGAAATTACAAAATTTTAGTCATTTTCTCATTTCGCATGAAATGCCCCTCATTCTAAATTTATGAATAAACGACACCATTTTTTTCTGCTAAATCAAATAAAACTTCCAATTAATTTTTGATTTTTTATTATTCATTCATTTGATTTGCAAACTTTGTTTCAGTATCATCGATAAAGTCAGAAATTTTACGCTTCACAAATCTTCGCCATAGCGGCGGCAATTTTTTAGTTGTCCGATACCAAGATAAAAAAAGAGGCATCAACTCGTCTTCAGTATCATCGATCTGCATTGGTTCGCTGGACTCAAAAACGGACATGCGAGAGTTTTTAATCTCGCTAAAGGGCGAGTGACGACTTAAGGACGTTGACGGACGATTTTCATTGGAGAAACGAGCTATTCTTGAGCTATTCTTCCCTGATAACGATGATATTGGTCTCTGATAGAAGTTTTCTCTCATCTTAGGTCGGCTTTCATCTTCCTCAGGTTCTTGATTAGTTGATAACTCCATTTCATCATCTTCAACATCATCAATTTGTTGTACAAACGGATTCAAAAAATCAAGCTCATCATGGTAAATTGATTTTTCTCTTGGATTTCGAAGACCCTTTTTGTATTGGCGAGTGAGATAACTCCATCTCGCTTTAGCGTATTTTACGGTATCTATAATTATATTAATTGTGACAAGTTATTGTTTTTATATTATTTTACAATATATTGTTTATGACATTTAAGACGGTGTTTAAATTTCTAGTTTAAATATTTAATCATCACCACACTGAAAATAAAGTTGTTTTTCACCCAGAATACAAAGTATTTTTATCCAAGTTTTTTTATATCCAAAATACGTTTTCTTAATATAAAAAAACTGGTATTTTTCGCCTGAGAATACCTAAGTTTTTTCTGGAGCTAAAACTTTACGCTGCGTTACCATAGCAACTGCCGCCAATTCTCTGATTTCCCTCCAATTTCACAGTCCTGGCGTGTTTGTTTACATCATTGGAAAGTTGTATATACTAATTTATTATTTATTGAACAATTACCAAGCTGTCTTAAAATTTGGGTGGATTCTTGGGTAGGAAAAGAGTTGCTCAAATGGGATTTACCATCTCTAAAAAAAATCTTTGAAGGTAATTGTCTTTTTAAGAGTTATTCATTGTACAAATTCGATTTAATAAAATAAAAATAGAAATCTCGCCCTTGAAATTAATAAAAAATTCAATTTTTCAATAATTTAATGTTTTTTAATTGAATTATAATTAATTTAATTTTCTTAAATTGAATTATTATAATTAATTTAATTTTCTTAAATATCATGCTGAAGAGCTGTCAATTTTAAAAATTTTTATAACAAATCAATTATCATAAAAGAATGCTACTAAAAAATTTTCACGTGTAATTTTTATTAATTTTCACATGTTGAATTTTTTAATTAAATTTTTTTT